CCTCAATCCAGTCCATGAGCAAGGCCATATAGCGTGGTGCAGAGAGCTTGGCAGGTCGCCGGTACTGGCGCTCATCCTGCCAGCGGTACTCATAGCGGGGCCCTCCTGCCATGACTGGACAGCTGGTCTCGCTGCAGCGTTCGGCCATGGTGCCATAGATGAGGTTGATGCGATTGAAGAAGTCCACCACGTGCACGGCGATCCAGTCGTCGATGTTTTCACCAGGTGGCAGCCTCACCACACTGCGCAGGTCCAGGCCCGACTTGAGTGATGCCTGAGCCTTCTTATACAGCTCAAAGCGCTGTGTGCCGGGCTCAAAGCGCTTGCGAGGACGGAATGTCTTGTCCTTGGCGAACACCTGCTTCAGGCACAGCGCCATGGCCAGGCTGGATCCAAGGCCAGGTGTCCAGGGGTACGGACTTGGATGCCAGAGCCAAGGGTATGGGAAAACACAGTGGTCAGTCAAATGGGCTTTGACTTCCCAACATATCATTCGTCTCACCTCTCAGCTTTTGGCCAACCTCTGCTACCCCTGCCTGGCATCGAAATCATCCCTAGGTCCAGCAGCCCTGCTCTATTTCCAGGCTACCCTACCTCCCCCTGTCAAGCTCCCATAGCCCTCCCATCCTCTCCACTTTCACTGCATCTCAGAGGCCTGGAGCGCTTTTCAGACTTGCTGTGGACCATTAGAGAGGTGGCAAAGCCTTCCTGCAGGCATGCCCACCAGAAGGCAGGGGCCTGGATAAAATGACCTTAGGGGGCCCCACAGGCCAGCTGGTGCAGCGTGGGAGAACCTGGCTGCATTGTCTACGGGGAGGCGGAGGGCCCCGCCTTCGGCTTCCTCTGGGATATCCCATGATCCATCCCGCCACGGGGGATTCCCAGGGAGCAGGAGGGACTTTTCTACCGAAAATGTACTTTCCTTTTATTACCCTGAAAGAGGAAAGGGCCCTCATATAGCCAGCTGGGTGGCCCCTGAATATGACTGCAGGTGCTGTTGGAAAGGAGGAGATGGTAGGCCTAGAACGGTGTCACTTCCTCCAACAGTGGCTGGAGATCCTTCCTCCTAAGCCAGGCTACTCCAGCCCCAAACCCGAACAAGCCACTGGCTCCTCCCCCTGCACATGACACTCAGCAGAGTTCCCAGAGCGCCCACCATGTGCCTGACATCAGGAAGTAGGAGAATGTAGCCAGATCCCAGCTGGGCCCATCTAGAACTCAAACAAATTTGATTTGCCTCCTATAATTGAAGGATCCCAGACTCTGAACAGACTTTGGGGGCAACAATCAGAGCCCCAGGCTTGGGGGCATATATCCTGGTTCTAGTACCAACTCTACTGCAACTGCGTGACCCTTTTAGTAGGCATGGAGTTGGCCCATGCAACTTCCTAGGGCTCTCTGATACAAGCCAGA